AAAATAAAATGATGAATGAATGTAAAAATATTTTTGCAACAATTGTGACAGCTGCTGATGATAGTGGTGAAAATATTTCTTCACAAGTCCAAGATACAACAAGCACTACTAAAGAAGAGAAAGATAACCCGGTTAAATTGAATGATGACCAACAGAATATGGGACAACATCGTTTAGAAATTGTTGTTGACGATAGTGATGATGAGTATGGCATTAATAATCAATCATCGAAAAATGAAACAAATAATCATCAATTAGAACAACATGTTCTGCCAGTATTATCCGAAACACAACAAAAAGACGATAATTTAAATAAGGAAGAAGAAATAACAACTAGTCAAACAGAAACAACAACAACAACGACTCCCAGTCAAACATTCCAGTCTACATCAGACATTGATCTTGCAAGCCCAGGGGAAGCCGAAGGTAGAAAACAAACTGAAAGGTAACATTGACGGAACAGAAGAGACGTGAGTATAGAGAATTATTAATGGTGTGTGTATGTTAAGGCCAGGTTTCGATCAGACTGTACACTTTTTTGATGAATCTCTGCAATTCTACTCCCCTTCTCCCGTCAAAACGATCGGAAATTCTGCATGTGTGCGTGTGTGTATGTGTGTATGTGTGTAACGCGCGCATTGTATACATGTAGTTTCTATTTGAAAAGTGTATATTTGTTTAAATTATTATAAAAATGTTGTTTGTTTTACATTCATTTCTTTGAACATTAAACACCGTTTACTGTCTATTATTTATTTTATCTCTGAATAATTAAAATCCATCTGTTATCGTTACTGAAAATTTCTTCGGCTTTACAATTATTAGTGGTTTTCTTTATTATTCAACCGAAAGTCTATCTGCGTTAATTGCCCAGGAACAAGTTTATGTTATTCATTAGCGTAAAAACGTTTTTCATATGTGTGAGAATATTAATTATTATTCAGTGAAGTTAATTCGCTACATTGGCTCAAAGTGGTTTAAACTGTGTCACTACATCACCAGCTCGACGTCGATGAGAAACATATAATTAGTGTTACAATTGCTCAAACTTCAAGATTTGAACAACTATCATGAAGAGACGAATAATTACATATGGATCTATTAGACACCAGACGTATTAACTTACTGTGATTACACAAGCAGTTTATCGATAATCAGTTATTGTCTATTTTAACTAATTTATTAGTATCGTGCTATTCTCGCTGTAAAATCCGTTGTTTCTATATTCAGCGCTATTGTTTTGTTTGTGCGTATCTGATGACGAACACTAATTTGTAACGTTCTTTGTTAAATCGATACCGTTACTACTGTCTTCTTTTTTTCTTTCTACTTTTTCCTCAGTCTTCTTGGAATAAAACATAATTTATGATGCCTAATTGAATTATTGTTTTTCTAGTGAAACTACTGTACAGCAGCATGATGCAACGGATAACGATCTTAATAATAAAGCGGAAACTAGTACAGCAACAAAAACAGAAGAAGCACTAATCACATCTGTGTCTACCCCGAAGCAACAGTCAGGCAAAGAAAAAGGTAAGAAAGCGTAAACGACATTACATTTTCTCAGAAAGGGGTTCAACACTTCTCTTTGCACAACAGTAAGTTACAAGTAACTCAGGTTAGGATATATTCGTGCAGAAGAGAATGGTAATTGTTTTTGTCTTTTCATTCAGTTGAGTATATTTTATATTGTCCGAAGCACAGTAATAGTTCGCTTTGGGAGTATGTCATTTCTGTTCGTTTCCCATTATGAAGTCTAGCAACGTTAATTAATCACTTTGTAACTCTTTTCCATTGATATTACTAATATATCTTTATAGATGTGAGTCACAACAATAATTTGTTATTTATTTCGTCTTTTAGAATCCAACCACGTTTGGGTATCCAATATATCGAATGAAACGCATGCATCAGATTTAAAAGCATTGTTTAGCAAGCATGGAAAGGTATTTTCACTAAACGCGCTGACAGTCTTCATGACGTCATTTTATTTAACTAATAGTTTTT